TTTGGGGGTCTAACGGTGCCTCGAATTGATCTCAAATGTAATTTGCTATCATCTACAGTTATAAAATATAATGCCAGTTTACTTGATGTGACTAGCTCGGTAATCTGACCACGTGATGTGACCTGACAATCTGACCACGGTTTACTTGATGTGACTGGACAATGTGACCATGGTTTACTTGATGTGACCTGACAATCTGACCACGGTTTACTTGATGTGACCTGATAATCTGACCACGGTTTACTTGATGTGACCTGACAATCTGACCACGGTTTACTTGACGTGACAGGACAATCTGACCACAATTTACTTGATGAAACCTGACAATCTGACCACGGTTTACTTGATGTGACCTTGCTATCTGACCACGGTTTACATGATGTGACCTGACAATCTGACCACGGTTTACTTGATGTGACTGGTCAATCAGATCATAGTTTTGTCAATAGTAGCCAACTTGTTATGCTACTTTAGGCTTCCTATGGTTGTTATGGTACGCCGAAAAGGAACCAAAATATTGACGTATCGCTTCTACCATATGAAATAAAAACAAAAAGAAGTACGAAAGTTTATGAATATTTGTATTGCATATGTCCTTTATCAAACTCTCGTTAGTGATGCTTTAACAGACAGGAAGTATTTAAATGACTCGTTATTTCAAAAACATGTAACATTTATATAGACAGACACAATAAAATTGAGCACTAACGTGTTACATGAAAGCCGTCTGCTCTTCTATCGATATTACCGGCCGGTTGTAGCGCCGACAGAAAATAATAATAATTATTGGCAGCAAGCTTCACAAGAAAAGATACAATGCAATTTTGCAGCAACACGTGTTTCATATAAAACAATACTCAAAAACACTATTATACCTCTATACCTGCCAGTACAGTAGAACAATTCATTATAACAAAACATATTGTTACTGAAATGTTCCAATTGTTTTAAGAGATCTTTCTTAGCGTCACCAGAACAAAACTTAAACCCTACAACATAGTATCCCAGCTCTTATATGGCTCTTAATGCTAGAGAATGACGGAGCGTAATCTTCACAAGATGTCCACATTTTCATTCACAAAGTCTGGGAAGGAAGAAAAAAAAATTAAGAATATTTTGGTCCAACACAATATGAAATCAGGGCCCATATTCATGAAACCGTTCTCATGCTCAAACGTTAACTCATGATCTATGCCCAAGACCAGTTTCTTGTTCAAGTAATAAATTAGTAAATAATCACATTTTGTTCATAATTTTGACGAATTTTGAAGAGACTTCGTGCCAAATACCAATTTCATCATTACCACTTGAATTTTTAACCATGTCTCATGATTTAAGTGAGTAACAAGAAACGGTGTTTAAGCCTGAATCCATGCTTGAGCATGAACACGGTTTCTTGAACACAGGCCCCGAACCTCTTCAACAGAACATCAAGAAGTCATGGTCACCATAATTAAGACAGGACAATGGAAATGGCTTGCCTACGAGATCCAGGATTGCACGGAGGCGCACAACAGAGGCAGCTATGATGAAAGATCCCCAGAAAACATTGGGGAAAGTACAAAGACTGGCCGACAGGAGCGGAGAAACTTCGTTGCTGAACGCCAAACGATTAAAGGATAGTAAATATGGAAATGACGATGCAGAGCTGCGTAAGTGTACTCCATCAGGTCTATGGTCTGGGAATCAAGTCGCTCATTCACCAGATTTCAATGTTGCGCGTTCCCTTCCCCATATGTATTGAGCTGACATTGAAAAGAAATGGTCACGGTGACTTAAATGTGTGCCTTATTTGGACCTTGATTTTGTCTGGATAATATCTCCCACATCATGCCATCTGCGATTATCAAAGTTGGTACATCTTAGAAGGCGGGGGTGTCAAGTTCAAAATAGGTCATTGTGACATTCATCTAGACCTTTGACCTTAATTAAGAATGCAAAATATGTGTCCGGAGCATATATCCCATATTATTTCACCTGCGATCATAAACAACACCTGGTACGCTGGTAGATCTTCCGTGAGCGGGCCATTATCTGTAGGTCTGTATGAATCGAGTCCTTAAGTAGTTCAGCGGTAAGAGATATTAACAATGTGTTGCAATATAATCTTATTCCAAAAAGGTTCACGAGAAACAAGGTTTGTGGGAGTGTTCTGTATTTTAGACCAATACGTTCCTTTTTCCTTGGATGATCGGAATGTGTCTCGGACAGACGTTGGTAAATCTCAATTCTCTCCAACTGCCTTCTATGGCCGACATGTAAATTTGTATCGAACTGATATACATGATGTTTCTTCCCTTACCACTTACTTTGTATTCGGAGAGTTTATTGTGATTGGAACTCATTGTGGAGATGTTGCATTTCTTTGTCTTTTTGGATCGTCAGTTTTAATATTTAAAAATATGGTTTTAGGAGATTAATTAAAAGTGTTTTTCACATGACTTGCATGTGTCGTCCTGGTTAAACTGTAAGAAGTGTAGGCGAAACTGTTACAGTGTATGATAAAGCATCATGATAAAGCAAGTTGCAGTTAACCTGCGTGTATATAGTAATTAGCCAACGATGTACTACTTTTTGTGATTGGCATGGCAACGAATCCCCAGGAACAAGTGAAACACGTTGCGTTAATCAGCAACTTCCCAAGGTCACCAGATACCCAGTATCAAGTTATGTCCATAGTCGGCAACACCCATGAATGTTAGTGAACAGTTACACACGATGTCATTTACAATTACATACAATGTCGACAGACAATTACACACGATGTCATTTACAATTACACACAATGTCGACGGACAATTACACACGATGTCATTTACAATTACACACAATGTCAATGGACAATTACACACTATGTCGACGGACAACTACACACAATGTCGACGGACAATTACACACAATGTCAATGGACAATTACACACAATGTCGACGGACAATTACACACAATGTCGACGGACAACTACACACAATGTCGACGGACAATTACACACAATGTCAATGGACAATTACACACAAAGGACAATCACACACAATGTGGACGGACAATTACACACAATGTCGACGGACAATTACACACAATGTCGACAGACAATTACACACAATATCAATGGACAATTACACAATGTCGATGGACAATTACACACGATGTCAATGGACAATTACATACAATGTCAATGGACAATTACACACAATGTCGACGGACAATTACACACGATGTCAATGGACAATTACATACAATGTCAATGGACAATTACACACAATGTCGACGGACAATTTCACACAATGTCTATGGACAATTACACACAATGTCAATGAACAATTACACACAATGTCAATGGACAATTACACAATGTCGACGGACAATTACACACAATAACAATGGACAATTACACACAATGTCAATATACAATTACACACTATGTCAATGGACAATTACATACAATGGACAATTACATACAATGTCGACGGACAATTACACACAATGGACAATTACACACAATGGACAATTTCACACAATGTCAATGGTAAATAACACCCAGTTATGTCATTGGACAGTTACACCCAGTTATGTCAAATGATAGTGACACCCAATGTCAATGAACTGTACATCACAATGACATCCAGTAATGTCAGAAAACCAGAGTAATGTGGGCTGATGATTCTTTAGATGTTTTCCCAATAACAAATTGAAAATTAACAATGTTACAAAAAAAACACACAACCATCGATAAAAGGGTAAATGTATCACTTTAATGTGTTGCAATGTATAAACTATTGTAAATTTGGAATTGAACATCTATTAAAAATTAAATATATAGAACAACATTAACGTAATTAAAATTGTTAAATAAGTAGGCACACGTACACCATTGCCTGAAGAACACTCCCTGGTACCTTGCTGTGTAAAACAGTGTACAGTACATTGATATAATATCATTTCACTAGCCATGGTTTTGTTTATCATACATCGGATGTATACTTATGAAGTTTTACCTTGAACTCTCGTTGTTTTAAAATATTTGGTTAACTCCAGTTGGATTAAAAAATTTGAACTGATATTTTGAAACACTGCTGTGAAATTCTCAAAAAAACAGCCAGTGCCAAATATTTTACAAATTATTTGATGATTTTTTTTTTTCAAGATAAGTGAGAAAAAAGTCAATTTGCTTTTTTTCCCCAAGAATATACATTTAATATTAAATATGGATCTTAAGACATGTGCATGTTTAGCCTGCTATATGATAAATGCATTCTAGTTTGATATAAATGAGATAATTTATAATCCTCTACACCTTGTTATGTGATACTGGGTAATGAATTTGGTACACATAACAAGGAACAAAATGCGATAATTGTACAAAAAGCAAATAACTGGTCATGAATAAACAAGGTTAAATTGATTTAGCATCACATGCGTGTGTAAAACTTAACGATACATATAAAACGTATTACAGGTATATAACAATGTATATCAGTGTATAAAGCGACATAAGGTAACACCACATTGTCACAAAGTCCTCTAAACACGTAAAAAGTGTAATAAATTCTATTTCAAGTGAATGTCTCAAATGTATAATAATAACATATATAGAATTGTTTTATGTAAACTGATAGAATATATTTTATCTGTCTATAATATTCTACCGGTATTCTCAAATATAGCTAGAGACTTTTGGACGATCCCTCTACAGAATTGAGAGTATCCTTTTTTATCTAATCTGTAGAGTGATCCTCCCTCATCTGTAGAGTTATCTTTCCAAAACGGTATAGTAATTCTTAGAGCTGCCACCAGGTGTCACTTCTGTGACATAATACACCTACACCTCTATAGTATGAAACTTGTGCCTCATGATTGTAAGCACTACTAGTAGTGTAATACACTGTGTTACCTAAAAAAAGGACTATCATTCATCTTAGTTCTGTAGCAACAACTTTTTATCAATTTAAAACCAGTAATGAATTATTTTTTTTAATATATTTACAGTATAGATACAGTATAGCTACAATAATATAAAAATAAATACATTTGTACAAAGGTTGTGGGCAGAGACGTATATATATTACATATATATACGTCTATGTTGTTGGGTACAGGTTGTACACATCTTCACCCTACATTCATGTATCATATTTAACACTGGCAAGACACATTTTGTGTGTCATTATATCTGTCATGTTTACGTATGAAGAAAGTCAATAGAAAAAGTAAGTTGGAGTATTATATCTATTCCGTGAAGCATCAATGGTCGGGTCAACAACAAAAGTGGCTTGATTGTGAAGTGACTGAATTATTGGAACATTTTTTAATTAAGACCAGTCAGTTCTTTAAAAGACTGGATAGTGCGACAAGCAGTAAGTGGCTGTTGGGGGAAATAAGACTTCACTGTTACCCTATAGAGACAATTCTGAGATACAAAATAAGTTTTAATAATGAGGTATAATCATAAATGCCTTAAAATTTCATTTAACAGTAGAATGAGTGAAAGCTGAGAAAGTTGCAATGCACAAGTTTTGTTGAATGTAAAATACAGGTTTGTGCAACATTGAGGTATATGTTAAACATAAACATAGCTTTGTACTCTGAATTATTAAAATATATGCACATCTGTTCATTGCAGGAAAAGAAATAGCATATAGGTGATGGGCCAGACTGGAATTGGAACCTTGAAGTAGCATTGTATGGACTTCATGCCATATCTAATGCAACTTTTTGCTCCCAAAGGATTAGAGGTGAAGGAACTTTGCTGTAAAAGCGCTGTTTGGAAGGCACTTGCAAGACCTGTCATTCCTAGTTAAACACTTTCTTTCCTTTCTAGCAGAGGGACAGATACATTTTGGTTGTCATTTTCCTGTTTGTCTTTTTCCTTTTCCTTCAAGAAGTGAACTTTGACCTCTTCATCAGGGACCTTCTGCACAGCGAAGCGTAATTGCTTTTCCTCAGGCTGACTTGTATCGTGTCGCCGACGGAACAGATTGCTGCGACCAGCCCTAGGATGACGTAGAATGCCGAAAGCCTTAGCGAAGTGACCAGGGGATTTCTTTGGTTTTAAAGGCCCGTCAGCTGAATAAGGTACGTTTTTTTCATTTACTTCGGTCAAAGATGTGGACACAAACTTTTTCCGACGCATGCTTCCTGTGGACATGTTTGGGGAGGCATGGTAGCTAGAGCGGAAGTCCCTCCTGGAATGACCATACATGTTGTGGAAGGTGTGGAAAGTCTTGTACTGGGGTGACACACTGTCCATCTCCTCCTCGTCTTTGTTCATTTGATCCACAAAATGTCGGGACACCAGCTGCAAAATTAACTTTTGTTGATGAAACAACAGATCAGAAAGCACAGTTCAGGTATTAAAATTTCTGTAACAGTGTTCTTCCATTTGTTTAACCATTCATGCCTTACTCGAGGGAGACCATGCATCTAATGATAATATGAAAAGATGTCATTCAAGATTTCTAAATATCTAGGCTAGTTACAGGCCAAATATCAGGAGCCTATGGGCTTGAAGTCCAAAATTGTTAATATTAACATTTCAGACCCCTGTGAATTTCATTCAAGGTCATTTGTTTGAATAACATGATAGCCCTCTTTCTAAGCTACATGTAGCTACAGTTCATGCTAATTATCACAACATTAGGCCCAATTGTTGTTGATAAAAGGTTTAATCAATATTAACAAATCCCAACCGAAAACAATTGGTCATTAAGCCATTGGCTCTTGCAAACTAAAATACAATGCTTATTCCTTACTATCCCAATTTAGAACTGGTCAAAAAAAGTCCATGAAAAAGAGAAAGGAAATTTGATATTGAATGTTATCTTCATTTGTGACTATAGAATAAGATACCTTTAACCCTTTCACCACTGTAGATCATAATGGACTCATCCATATCAATGCATGGAAGAGTCTACTGAAGTTACATAGAGGTGAAAGGGTTAAGCAGTCAGTCATTGATGACATCCCTCATGCATAAAATCGGATCATGTACGGTAAAACCTTGTTATACTGCCACCATTTTATGATTTGTCCAGTTGAATTTTGGCATTATAAAAGGGTTGGTGATAAATTGAGGGAAATGTATAAATTAATTTTAAAGAAAACAAGAAAAAGGGACATTGAAATACACTGGTGGTACACAAGGTGGCAAATGAAACGAGGGGCATTATGTCAACATTTTACTGTACATGAACTTTAAACTTTCACCCCATGCTGAGACAGATCGTGTACTTACATCTCCCCTCATGCCACCAGGAATCCGACTCTGTATTTCTTGGACGCTTGGGTCATCATCTATTTCCTGATAAAGTGAAAACACGTTACCAGGTACAATCAGCGAGGAAATCTTGAACATTAGAAGTGAAGATTAAATGAAATTGTATATCTATGGTCACACAAAATTTCTAGGTGGAGAAATCCATAAATGTACACCATTAGGAATACTCTTCATAGTAACCTCTCATAGCCTGTGACTTTCTTTAGGGGAACTTTCAGTTCCAAACATTCCCAAGTTGTTTTCAAATCCTTTAAAATCTGTGTAATGAGAAAATTAGTTGGTCATTGCAGATAAAAGAGGCCTATTAACCCTTGAGACAGTCACTGGGGAAACCAACACCAGCCGCTATCAACATTATTACATCTTGTAAGTGGGAACTGACTCAGTCTCTGACACATATGTACTCACCTGTGTCATCCTTTCTAACTGAAGTAACTGGATGGGTTGGTCTCCATTTTCTTGCTGTAAAACACAAACACAGAGTACCGTTTACTTGTTTAGTCTATAGCTATATAGAAACAATACAACAAACTGCACAGGGACATGAATACCTCATCTGTTTCTTACTCATGTTAACCCATTTACCGCTAAAGTCAGATTTGAACCTTACCATATCAAAAACTGGGCAAGTCCAGTTTAACTCATTCACCCCTGAAGACACATTTGAACTCTTCCTAATCAATGGTTGGAATAGTTCATTATGAAGTTTCAGGGGTGAATGAGTTAAGAATATAGAGGTGAATGAATTAAAAACAACAAGCTGAACTCAGAAGACCCTAACTCTCCAGAGGGATACACTCACCATTTATACAATCTTGAGTCCCCTTCAACTTTACCTTAACCATTCTGAACAAGTAGTCTTTTAAGTAAATACATGTACTTCTATTTACCCAAATGTCCCTCAGATAGCCATATTATGACCTCTGATAGTACTCACCCTACTAATAGCCTAATACAGTGTTTGGTTGAGAATACTGGACACCCTAATCTAGTTTGATACCAGTAACTTACCCTCCATTCATTAAGTAGAGCTCTTGCCTGTTGTGACAAGCTCTTGGACTGGTTTCCCTTCATGGTCACATATGATTCCTTTGCGATCTGTAAGAATATTATATATCACAACCAATTAAAAAACATACAAAGATGTATTACATATTTACTTTGATTTGGCAGATGTTCTTGTCTGAGGCTTGAACTTTTTATTTATTTTTTTCTTTCAATTTTTCTAAAGTTTACATTAACATACAGTACACATACACTCCCACATGCAAAACAAAGGTCTAACAAAGGTCGTCGTCATCATCATCATCATCATCATCATCATCAAATGAACTGTTTTAACAAAAGTTGTAAGCCACTGCTAACTAAATACCCCCTGCTCTCTCTAATGAAAAACTACTGCATCAATTTTCATTTAACGATAGTTCAGGATTTGATGTTGACAAAAATTTATAAATGGGAATCAGAAAGACGCATAACTGCTTTAAAAACAATGAAAATCCCAAAGTAAAGGTTAAGTCTGTACCTAGTCCTTACAACTCACCTTGATGTCCTCTTTCCAGAAAGTCTTTGTGTCCTCTGACAGCGCCATTTGTGGTGCCACCTCCTTGATCTGTAAACAACATGTCAGAGTCTCTGAAATCTGTTTCATCATTGGCATAAGTCTAGTCTAGCTACCTTCCAATAATTACTATGTACAATCATGATCAACAGACAAAAGAAAAAAACAGACTTGGAAATATGTCATTTCTGTTATTTATAATTTTAAATAGGTCTGCTATTAAAACTTGGATTTGTGTCAACCACTCCATCCACATTTATCCTATAATTGATTATATAACTGATATATGATTGACACTGTCCTATTTGTTGGACAATATTACTGGTAATGCTTTTGCTGATACCTTCTATCGTATTTAATTTATTGCAAAACTTCACCATTGTTTTGCAGAAATTTTGATTGTTTGATAGAGGATAAAAACGTACATGGTTTTCTTTTCCCAAAAAATATGGTAAAACAATTTACGATTATTTGTGATACATGTACAACATTACACAATGACGCCACAAAAAAAATCCTTACTGAAAACCCATTCTCCATACTTCGAAACACAAACCTCCCTACAATGTGATTCAAAGTAATCATGTAAGTAAAAGGAATGGAAGTTCACAAGGATCTTACGATACCTGTTAAGTATAACTGGCGAGCCTACCTTGAGTACGATGATTCCCATGATGATGATACAGATGATATTGAGGATGGTAAGCAGCAGACTGAACAGACCGAGGTAGAGCATCTCTTCAGCCATATCACAGCTGTACACAGGGATGTAGGCATTACGGTCCAAGGGGACACAATTCAGTCCGGGAGTCAAGTTTAGGGAGATTGGTAGATCCTGTTGAGGAAAACCACAAGTACAATGTACATGATGTATAAAATAATCAGGTCCTTGTAACCATATGGATGTACTGTATGATACCAATGTAATACAGTCAAACTTCCATAAATCGAACTTTGAAGATTATAACTTCTCGATGATTCGAACTTCAGGCAAAGTCCAGAATGTTTTCCTAAATAACACTACTAATATTCTTTTCATGAATTGAACTGGGAGTAAGCATAGTACCAATGTTTACTGAATTTGATTAACAAATAGCTAAATTATAGGGACAAAATGCAAATAGGTTTCTTTGTATCCACTAGTATATATTCTTACCTACACTACATGTGTATGTATACTCACTGTCGCAGTATTGTTGGTCTGGGTGACGTTGTATCGTGTCTGGGTGACGTTGTACTGTATTGTAGAAGTCGGAGGGGTGACAGTCTGCACTCTCGGGGGCGGTTCAATAGAGGCAATGATAGCACTGGCCCACAGCATGCCCTGTCAGGATAACAGTGTAACTGTTGTCAACCTTAATATTTGTATGTGCAGTATTGGTTTATAGAGGGATGGAAAGAAAATCACTTATAAGACTATAACCATCATAAAAGAAGTCTATGTTTTAATGATTTACTTTCATGCCTGGTCATTGTAACAAATATTTATTGAACATGGTCACCCTGTCCAGTCCCAGTAATTTTATCAGCCAGAGAAACAAATTATACCATTACCAGGGTTCATACCAGTTTTACATTATGCTGTGCCAAAACTTTCGCCAAAATAAAAACAATTATGCCTAATTTTATATTTATGAGCCAAATAATTTTATGTCATTTACAAGGTGCCGCAATGAAAAAAACTCAAGCAGAATTCTTCACTAATGCTTAGATATATCTTCGATAATGTGTAGTTTGTATACAGCATCACTTTTATTCCATATTATGTTGTTTGTTATACATGGCTCACACAAGAAAATTACACTGAATGGAAAAGCTATTAATATCAGTTAACCTGCAGCAACAATCTAAAGTTCATGATAATTAAATCCTTTCCATGACATCTTTAAACAAGATAAAACAAAGATGTTATTATAATTTTTCGTTCATTTTTCATTGGTTTCTTACAGCATTGACAGCAGGTGGTAGGAGGGATGCGGATATAGCGACGCCCACCAGAGATCCTGTGTTACCCCCAAGGATGGAGAGGGCGACGCCCGCACCAGAGGGCAGTGCAATCAGGATGCCTGTCCACAGACTCCTTGTCATACCCCTGTAGTAGTAAACATAATGAAAATGGAACGAATTTAAGTCTTCACAACACAATGGCAATCAATATGAAGGCCTACAATTTAAACAAAACCCGAGCATGAATTAAAAACCTCAAGCAAGCACATCACACAGGCATGTCGATTTGGTGATTACTATACAGTATAGCTGTGTGATTAAAACAGATTCAAATATACATTTGTATCCAATTTAATATAATACCAACAATTTATAAGACTGAGGATCTATGGTTATGCCTTTAACTACCTACATGTATACCCGTTTATAACACAATATCAACAAATTTGAAAGTGACTGTATACAGCAAATACTCGGATATAGGTACAAAACCGTATAGCACAAGCACAAACATTCTGTTCAACTATGAATGTTTTCATATTTGTTCAGCATGAAGTTGCGTAGAGAAAACAATTTTTCTTTTTGATATCTTTAAATAACTAGTAAAATCAAATATTATATAAATTTCAACAAACTTTAAGATAAAGAGTATATCTGATAGATCTTATATGATGTGTTATTATGTCCATTTACACATACATAATTAATGCAAAGTAATACCCCCCGACATACATTAACAATTCAAAACCAGGACTGTTATCCACAGGTACACTAATACGCGGACACTCCGGACCTGCACGACCCCACACCATGTTAGTTAAAATCCATAACGCTTTTTAATACTAATAGTGGAAGAGGCTTTTCAGAATGTAATAATGCACTTTTTATTTGATGACAACTTAAGACGGCCTCAAAATGACACTATGATGATGTGCAAGAGGACAAACATTCCTACACATGTTGATAATTCAAGGCCCATAACTCTTTCACTGGCACCTTGTTAATGGTTGGATAAGCGAGACAACTAGAAAACACTTGATGACCGTTGGGACTATGGTATAACTGTGTTGGTTGGGATATGGAGGCTCAGTTGTAGATGTATGTGTGAAAATAAAATGTGAAAATTAAGTAAGTTCTGGACATCACAAATCCTATACAGTGTACACCTACCTGGACTTCATTTCACTCGTAGGCCAAGCATCTGTACTGCCCCAGAAAGCTCCATCCTTACATACGCCTCCACATACCAACCCCCAAGCCAGTCCTACAGACAAAAGGTTAAATTACCCGTCTGTCCAGAGTGTACATACCCATGTGTCCAAAGTGTACATACCCATGTGTTCTGAGTGTGAATACTCATGTGTCCAAAGTGAACATACATACCCATGTGTCCCAAGTGTACATTCCCATGTGTCCCAAGTGTACATACCCATGTGTCCCAAGTGTACATACCGTTGTGTCCCAAGTGTACATACCCATGTGTCCCAAGTGTACATACCCATGTGTACCGAGTGTACATACTCATGTGTCCCAAGTGTACATACCCATGTGTCCTAAGTGTACATACCCATGTGTCCCAAGTGTACATACCCATGTGTCCTAAGTGTACATACCCATGTGTCCCAAGTGTACATACCCATGTGTACCGAGTGTACATACATACCCATGTGTACAGAGTGTACATACCCATGTGTCCCAAGTGTACATACCCATGTGTCCCGAGTGTACATACCCATGCCATGTGTCCCAAGTGTACATACCAATGTGTCCAGAGTGTACATACCCATGTGTACAGAGTGTACATACCCATGTGTCCAAAGTGTACATACCCATGTGTCCTAAGTGTACATACCCATGTGTCCCAAGTGTACATACCCATGCCAACACAGATTAACAGACTCAGCACCTCGTTCCTGATACCAAGATTCCGTAGAGTGTTATTTTGTATCACAGTTCCAAAAGTTCCAGCCAGAATTGGACCCTGAGACAACAAAATGAAGATGAGGTATATTTCTGTTTCTTACTGAGCAAAAACATGGTTAATCAATGAAGATAAACACACACACACACAAAAAGTAAGCAAACAGAAAAGTACAAAACAGTGATACATAGTGCATTACAAGGAAACCTATCATGATAAGAGACACCAACATTACAGGGAAACCTGACATGATAAAGACACCAACACTACAGGGAAACCTAATATGATAAGAGACATCAACACTACAGGGAAACCTAACATGATAAAGAGACGCCAATACTACAGGGACACCTAACATAATAAGAGACACCAACACTACAAGAAGGCTTGAAATGATAAGAGACACCAACACTACAAGAAGACCTGACATGATAAAGAGACGCCAATACTACAGGGACACCTAACATAATAAGAGACACCAACACTACAAGAAGGCTTGAAATGATAAGAGACACCAACACTACAAGAAGACCTGACATGATAAAGAGACGCCAATACTACAGGGACACCTAACATAATAAGAGACACCAACACTACAAGAAGGCTTGAAATGATAAGAGACACCAACACTACAGGGAAACCTAACATAATAGAGACACCAATACTGCAGGGGAACCTAACATAATAAGATACACAAATACTACATGGAGACACCAACACTACAGGGAAACCTGACATGATAATTAACACAAACACTATAAGGAGACCTAGACCATGATGGTTACCACCAACACTACAGGGAAAACCGGCATGAAAAGAGACACCAACAATACATGAAAACCTGACATGATAAGAGACACTATTACTACAGGGAAAACCAACATGATAAGAGACACTACCACTACAGAGAAAACGGACGTGATAAGGGACACTACCATTAAAGGGAAAACCGACATGATAAGGGACACCAACACTACAGGGAAACCTGATATGGTAAGAGACATCAATACACAAGGAGACCTACCATGATGGGTGACACCAACATGCTGGCTACCAGTACCACTGAACTGTTTTCCACAAGTCCCATGGCCGAAATGGAGCTACAAAGCAAAACATTAATATCATCTATGCTTCAAAACATTAATGGAAGACTTTCCCATTTTACAATTATAAACAAAAGCTATTACAAATCAAAAGCAATCGAAAAGTGAAAAGGTTGAAATTTTGAGGTGAATACAAATCTACAAACCTTGCTAGGAGAACCAACACCAGAAAATCAAATGTAAATTCTGCATTTCCTTGTACCGAGTTCACAACCTACAACAAAAACAGTTATCTCCCTTAGACTACATACTAAGTGGAATTTCTTACAATTAAGATTTATGATTAACAGCCAAAAAGAATAAAATATTATGCAATACATGCATAAATCAGTTTTAATCACATCAATTTAAAACAAATTCAGAATCAACGGCTTAAGTTAATTGAAGACAGATTTGATATCAACAAAATGTTATTTAGATTTTGTGCCAGTAAACAATCCTGTATAGCATTGAAACCCTGGCTGCCACCAGGCCAGTGATGTTTTTTTACCAACCTCTGTGACAAGCATACGAGCCTTGATGGATTTCTTAAACTCACTCTGCTTCTGTTCATCAGGATTAGCACTGCAACACAAAACTACGAAATGAATAACATGTAACTCTTACATGTTAACTACAAGCAATCGTAATTTTCTGTTCATAATCTTGCAAATATTATTATTCTTCAGGAAAGACAATGTAAAGAAAAGAAATTTTACAACCGAAAATTCATTTTCATTCAACAGTTAAGTTTTATAGTAGAATAAGTTTGTCACAGCAACAGAGTTCCATTACTGAACTAAACTGTCACGGTAACCTACCAGTGATTTTTTTTCACCCAGTTTTACTGCCGAATACAGTCTGTTTCCCCTAGCTAAAAGGTGCCTTATTTTCCCGATATGACCAAAAACTGAGGAATATATTCCCAATTTCAATGCAAATAATGCTACTTTTCCCAATTCAAAAAGGGACATGCTGTTGTAAAATTTAGGTAGCAAAAACACTTCTTACGCAGAATTATATAGATCTTCTTCATCTTCTTCCTCCTCATCCATAACTCCTCCAGCTCCCTTATAAATGCTGGTTTCAAACATACTGAAAAAATAAATTAAATGGTCAGCATCATGTATTATAATTCTTGTAAAATAAAAGATATTTCCAGACAACAGTCTTTACTATTACCGTATATATATAAACTTATCGTCTGAAAAAATAAAAGGAATATGCTGAAGTAGAAATTTAAGGATAGACAGCAATCCTAATGAGTCCACTCTCACCTTATAGAAGACTGGGCATTGTCTCCAATACCGATTTCTGCCAACTTGTTCAAAATCTCTTCACAGTTCTCCCCTTCTTCCACAAACACAAACTAAAAGACAGAAGTACACAATCCTGTATAAAGGTTACTGTTCTGACAGTGTCAGTATCATCTTGTTGGTGCTGTAGGAGTCATGTACATTGTATTCATGACTTATTTGTCTCTTAAGATTGATCCATGTATAATATGAAAGTTAATATATGTAAAATACAGCATTCCCTACTAATTTGAAAGTTTGTTACTGAAAACTTCATACAAATTTTGAGAGGAACAATGCATAGTATAAGCTGACTAAGTAGTTCAAACTTTGGTCCACTCCATCTCTTCAGAAGCCCAAAATGAAGACAGTGGATCAACTTTCTAGAAAACTTTCCTCTGCATAACTGAGATAACTTTTTAAGAGACTTCACTTAATTTAAGAGTCCCGATATTTTTCTAATTGGTCAAAAGGGACAAGATACCAGATAGATGATCACTGTGAGTGACACATGAACACAACATGAATTTAGTCATAAAAGCAGGGGGCCCTGATCCTGTGTTCCCTTTTAATCTAACACTGCAATTATATAATTCTGTATCTTGTTTATATACATTTTGTTATACAGACCTGAAAAGATTTGCCATTGGTTGTCTTGTGTACAGATAGATTCTTCACAGTATAGTTCTCTAATGCAGACAGGGTTCTCTGAAAAAAACCAAGAAAACCCCCCAGAATTATTATGAATTAACAGGAAAAGGCCCCGACAATAAGAGATTACATTCTATAGTTTATGTATTCCATGCTTATGTACATATTCAAATTATCCTTTTTCTTTCTGGTAGAGTACTTTACCAATCATATGGAAATTTAGTACGGGTCAAGTTAAAAGACATTAGCTCGGGCAGTTGTTTTTTTTAAAAGACCGCTATAAATTTTCTACATGCTTTTATTTCTTTAGAATTTGGAAAAGACATCTTTCTGGCTCAGTTACATGATTCAAGCCTCTCAAAACCCATAGTTTGCCTACCTGGAACAGTGACTCTGTTTTCACAAATATCTCCAAGTCTTTGTCATTATCCTTTTCTGCATCAACGTCTATAGATTTTCTGGGTTTGTCATTGTTTTCTGTTGAAAGTTTCTTTGTTGAATCATCACCAGATGTTGGTGCTGTGTCTGTACTTTCTACTGGCTTATTACTAACATCTTGACCCTCTTTTTCAGCAGAGGTGCTGTCTGAAATTCCCTCAGATGTTGAGTCTGAAGTTTTGTTGGATGAGGGTTCTGTAACGGGAATGGGTGATGTCTGTGCCGATTGTGGAGCTACTGTTGTTTCTTGTGATTGAGGAGGTTCTGACTCAGAAACAGGTTCTGAATCCTCAGGAGCTTTATCTACAGAATTTTGTACCAGTGGGGTTTCCTTTTCCAATGTTTCAGATGGTGGGAAAGTCCAGGCTGATGAAGGCGAGTCCTTCTGTGGTGCTTGGCTGCTGTTCTGAGTGTCACTGTCATGTGCCTGTATTGTGTCAGCATCTTGTGGTGCTGATGTGCTGCCTGGGGATGGTGGAGGTGTGAAGTCCCAGGGTGGTGGGGATAGCAACTCTGTATCCTCAGCGACTGAGGGATCCGTGATTCCAATGGGCGAGGGATCAGATGTCCCAGAGGTTGAGGTGTCTGATGTCCCTGGGGATGACGGTACTGGAATAGCTGATGGGTCAGAGGGTGTAGTTGAAATGTCTGCTTCTTCTGTGGATGAGGGTTGTGATACCAGTACAGAAGAAGTACCCTTTTCGTCCTGTCCCTCCGGTTTGACAGGTGTCACATGCTCCGAACCTTCAACGTCACTGCTGTCTGAAAGTGTGACTCCTTTAAGGTCGCCTGTTTTATCGTTTGAATCAATGCCTGGAACTTCGGATGACCTACCGTTGCTGCTCTCTGACCCTTTCCGTGTATTCGTTTGCGCGTCCTCTAGTTTCTTTGCATCTGTTTCTTTATCTTTGTCATTTACACTGTTCTCTTCCTCGACAGGAACGCGTACAAAAAACAGAAACGACGACGATGTCATCTTGGTTTTGTCATGCGTGAAACGTTTATACAGATTCCATACCTGCTATGGAACTAGGCCTCCCACAACTAACCCAATCGATGAACCAGGAAACGTGAACTTTTCGTCTGCGACTCTGCGAAGACACTGATGCAGCAGCCGTTATCCACTCATGCTTTCTTATCGCTGTTACATTAGAGGCGTGAATTGTTTGTGTTTATTTGGGTGCAATCGATTCCGCCGACAACGTGTGATTGTAGGTAACATATATATTAGTAGAAAAAAAAATTTAATTATCGGAAATGGGTTTTTTGTATGATAAAAACGTCCTTGGCGTGTGCGATCTTTAATGGCTATGAAGAGTGTAAGGCCTATATACAATAAATGTATATGATTAAAAAAATATGAACATGCAGTATCAAGCAATTAATTAGTAAGGTCACAGACTTAGATTAGACACTGTAAGTCCTTGGTAAGGAAGAGCATATCCGTATATAAAGGGGCTTTTAAGGGGAAGTCAGTCAAGTTCAGACCAAATTGGGTTTAATTGGGCACATTGTATAGTGGCCTGACACTATATATATTTAATAGAATTTAATTGGAAAAAAGATGAACGCAGGCACGGACTTAGATAATATAATTCCGTGACGCAGGTAAATATCTGCCGCTATATCCATATCAATGATACAATACATACATACACATGTAATTCGTTAACACCCAATTTTAACATACATTGTATATGTAAAAACTTATAAATTTGCCCATATTTCATATTTATATTTTCCAGTGTTCATCTAAATTGACCTATCATATATATATCACTTTGCATATATTTTGTTTATCATACACAACAAAAATGGCTTCGCCCGAACAGCATAATAAAATGAAGAGTAAAATTGTTTGTATGTAATTGTTTATTTCAAAGGCATGTAATTGTTATTCATGCAGAGATGTGTGAAAAAGATACCCATTTTATAGTAGCGACAATTTCTACAAAACAGGGAATTTACTAAACAACTGAATAAGAAATCCTCGTGTTTAAGTTCATTGTATAATCACTATGGTAAGCTAACTTATCATTTATTTTTAAGGGAGCAATGTATTACCTTATTTCATCAAGATATATCAGATATCTAATATATTATATAAGATATATCATATTCAATAGAGATAGCGGACTTAACGCTCATATATATATGATATTGTATTATATAGGCCTATAGGATATCTCAGATACTATACGAAATATCTGATAGAAAATATGTCTTATTTAATTTGATAAATGATATGTCTTACACAATTGAAATATTGTTACTACAGTGTATATGAGATATAGAATGAGATTTCGTGACATTAAAAATGGATCCTCGAGATATTCTGGGTTGCGTGACTTCGTTTTTTACATTTTGTGAAAATCTCGTTCCTATTTATCTTTTGTAGTGACGACATTTCACATTATATGAGATATCTTATACAGTATATTAATATCTTATATAATATGCAACATATGAGATATCTTATATAACATCCTTATATTATAGTATGAAATATATCTCATATATTATATAAAATATCTCATATCTACACTACTTAATATAATATATTATAATATACTATATAAGATGTCTCATATACTATATTAGGTAGACTGGCTATATACCAGCCCCTCAGTTTTTATGAAGAATTTCTCAACTGCATTTTACTACTAGCTTATCTCCCCTTAGTTAAGAACTTAGGCTAGAATCAGACATCCAAGTGAAGTTAATTTATTTTTCTGAATACATTTGTAATTAAATGTCGATATAATATTCTAGAGACGGGGGCCAGTCTATATATTACGTATCTCACGTAGTTTTATAAAATTAGGGATCGACATTGCTCCTTTGATAAATCAGAGACGTATATATATCAATTAAATAAGGTCCATCAATATGTAAATAATATTCCAAACATTATAGACAAATCACTTTTTTCAACCTCTTCCCCACATCTGGAATTTCATATCTATTGCTTTAATCAGAGCACGGACTTAGATAACTAATCTAATTCCGTGATCAGAGGCATGCATTATAAAAGTTGGGTTTTCTGTGCCTCTGTTTTAAATACACCTCCTCGTTTGTGTTCATATGAGGGACGTTTCTGAATTATGAGATATACATTTCTCTATAAAGATACTACCTAAACTTAATGGGAATTTAAACACAGGACGCATAATAATTGTGGGAGTTTTGGGTCAGAATCTAAAGTGGCTTTCACATGGCCATATACATGATTCCTGTATAGTTTTGGATGCCATGCTACGTTATAACACGTTAATGTATACCTGTCTGGCCTGCATGTCTGACACAGGTATACAGGTAGATACTATACTGATACAGACGGTGTGAAACCGAGGCTCGCTGCAGCATGTCTCAGTCTGTTCCGACTTGACCCAACGCGAGTCCAATACACCGAAACAGATCGAACCCAATAGATTGATCGGGAATCGGCAATCATCGATGATTGCCGATTCATAGTGCTGATTGATCCCGCACAGGTAAGCTCTGGTAGCGGTGAGCTGTTCCTGACGAGGCAGGACATGTACGTACGGACTGTGTCAGTAGCAGTCGGAACAAGCCACAGATCTATGGCAATGTGCCACAGGATAACTCTCACGTCCGGACAAGTCATATAACACCCCTTAATGCAATGGTACCGTCCAAACACTACCTCTCACAGCAATATGGTACCGTCCAAATTTAAATAACCACATAATCAATTCACAATTGGTACAGTAGAAACGTGTTTCAATCAAGACAGCATACATTCTTCAAATTGTATATAAGCTGTCTATTTTACTGAAGTTGTGAACATTTTATTCCAAAATTATTTCACAAAGTGTTAACCACTGTATTCAATCAGAGACGTAATGTAATTCTAAACAAGGATACACTGTATAGTAATGAATATAATCTGTATGTGATGATGTAACGCTAATCAGAGACGTATAAAACCGATGTATTGCTGGTACGTTTCTGTTATAATCAGCACTTATAGGCTGTATAAAATAGATACACTGACATATATTTGTTAGATATACACATATTTGTAAGATATTGTAATCAACAATAAAAATAAACAATGCTATACATATGTGTAATGTAATTTTTTTGGCGGCAACTTCGGTTTGCAAACGTACTCCAACCCAAACTTGTAAGAGCATATATCTAATACACACCTGCACTTTAAGCTGGATACGTGGTTGTACAAGTTATAAACAGATATTCCTAGTCCTATTGAAAGAAATATAAATGTAAACGAGCAGTTCTCATATTGAAAGAATTATAAATGTAAACGTAGAGTTCTCGTGTACACGTGAACCAGTATCGTGAGCTGACCCTTAATTTTAAGGCATAAATAAATCACGGTTCGTAAATCAAAACAACTATTGTAGAAACATGTTGGTCTGTATATATATCCCTGTAAATGACATGCCTCTCTCACACAGAGTGATAATACACGGAATGGGCCACATACTGTATTAGAAACACGTATTTAAAATCGGGAACATATGTAATGGTCTGTATAATTTCCTCTGTCAGCGGGACTGATGGAACTGCAGTAGACTTGCCGTACAATACGCACAAAGCTCTACCCACCATGTCACATAAACAGAAAATGACAGACGATGTGATATATATAGTTCTTTGAACGGATTTGAACATTTGTCTCATGAACACAAAGAAACACAGGCATTTTTATTTATATATTTCATTTATTTTTATTCATTCTGGTGGTTTTTTTTTTATCATTTATTGTTGTCGAAATATGCACTTGTAGACAGCGGTTCATCATTAGTTTGATATCAACAATTTATTTCAATATGACATATGACGAGATTCAAATTTGCATGGTTACATTTATAAATAAATGTATGACGTATACAAGCATAATTCGGGTTTAGGTATTATCCAATGGAGACGTGTTTTATCATAATATTCCAAGATCACAAAATAGCAATGTAAACCCCTTTGTTACTGTAACATACTTGTCAACTTTGCAAAATCCGATTTTCATAACGTGTTTCTTATACAGTATGGGACATGGGCTGTTCGACTGTTCCTTTTTTAGTAGAAAAGATTTGTATTTTAGTTCCGAGAAAATTTCTACGTTCTGCTAGGATTTTACAATTTAGTTGTCCACCTAGTAGGACTAATGTCCGAAAAAAATGCCCGTGAGCTTGACTGTATTTTTTATTGTACCTTGCCTTCTTTTAAGTCCCTCCTAAAGGCAGTATGTTTTAGATTATTATCATGCTTCTGTATGCATGCTACACCTCTCTTAATATTGTTTGTATGTATTTATCTGTGATATTTTATTATACTTTTGTTATCATTGTTATCAATTCTGTAATTGGACCCTTGGGTCTTTTGAATTGAAATCAATAAATCAATAAAACTCTCCCTATTTTGGAGCACGGAGACTCCCAATTTTGGGCCCTGAAATTAAGTATTTGAAACCAACAAATTTGCTAAACTATTCCGCTATATTCAATAATTTAATGATTTCATCTGAAAGAAGAACTCAAAGTACACTAGGTGGCATATATACACAATTTATTCATGTTTTTAATTTTTAGCAAGCTAAATCTCCCCCATGGATAATCACATGTCTTTTCAATGAATATGAAAATAATTTTCACAAAATTATGTGCAAATGACAAAAATATATAATTTCTATTCAAAAATATAAATTGTAGATCTGCTGTATATTAGATCGCATGATATTGTGTGATGAGCATAACCTGGAATTAGAGTATGAGAAAATAAGTATTTTTTAGGAACCCATCTTCTCCCGGTATGGTACCTACATTGTACATCGCATTAATTAAATAACTTTGTGGGCGAGAACATGATAGTAAAGGGAGTTAACCCCGTCGTTCTTAATCAGTTATAGCACAGAATTGGATCAGTAAATACTTTTTGACGGAATTGAAATTTTAAAGAAAACAAGTTTAATTTTCTGCTTTGCCATAGATAAATACAATTGTTTTTTTATAATTACTTTTTTTCTGAATCTAAACAGTAAGACGATATTGTTTTTCAGTCCCGGTTTGCTAAAATATTTGCACCAGTGTTGATTTTTCTATAACCGATTGGATCTGACTGAATTTATAACGTTTTCTCCATTTTCACTCAATACACATTCGTTTGAGCAATTGCCAACATTCATCCCCTTTTTAACCGACATTCTCCGCCCGTTTAGAGGCGTGTCGCCGACAAGGGAGATCAATCGTTTGGTATTGTGATTTATCGGGTCAATTACGGTATCTAGCGCGCACCTTGTTACCAGCCTCGGTGTGGTTTAGCGTAATCACGTGACTAACAATGAGGACAGCATTGACGAGTTCTCAGTAAGACGTATTTGCTATTCTTGAATTATGGATGTAAATTTCTGTTAAACTTGGATTTTTCTAAACGTCATGCGATCAAGGTTTGTATTTAATTTAAACGTCTAATGTCTTTACGATTTTAAAGTGAATTTTTTGATGTCATCGTATTTTACAACACATTTAGAAGTGTCGAAGTGGGAAAGAAAACATGCAAACTTTTGTCCGACTCGGATAGGCCTACGATACACAGCGGTAAAAAGTTTTGTACGGTGAGACATGTGTTGCACACAGTGTTCACAAAATCAAAGACGACGGAATACAGGCTAGACTTGTGTAAATGGGATCAATTCCGTTCCGATACCTGACATGTTTGTATGTAAACAATCCACCTGTTGTGACAGTTATCAGAACAGACGGTTATGTGGAATACACATACTCTCTGTGTTTTAGAATTTTGTATTGTAAATAATTAGAATTTAGCCCTGTCACATTGTCATCGATTTATTCTTTGATTTAAACAAGTTTTTATTTAACATTTTAATCATTCGTACTTTTCTATTGAAGCAATTATCATTTTTCTTGAAATTTCTGAACTTCATAATTGCTTTTATCATTTAGTGAAAATAAAACAAAAGTTTCTGTATGTCCCTACACGCAGTAATTGGTTTTTAGTGTACCCTAATCTTTAACATCTACTGTAAAGTATGGCATAATCTCTCAATAAAACCTTTGGTAAAACATATTTATAAGACAAAAATAAAGATTCATTTAATTTCTACCTTAATTATGGAGACCAAATATGGAAAAATACCAATAGTTTGTTGTTTTATCACTGTATAGGCCTACATATATAGAGAATAATACATGTCTTTTTCCATATCACACCCAGTCTCAACCCAAGACTGCAATATCAGCCCAAGGGCCGAAGGCCTGAGGGCTGATATTGGTCGAGGGTTGATACTGGGTGTGATATGGTAAGTGTGTTTTATTCTGTTTATTATATACTTGCTAATAAAAACTACTATCTTATGATTTAATTTTATTTTTGAAATATTGAAAAACATTTTTTTTCCCAAAAGGGGTGTGATATGGGTTTTGCGGGCTGATACAGGTTTTGGGGTGTGATACGGAGGGAGCAAATACAGGTTTTGGGGTGTGATACGGCGAGGGCTGATATGGGTTAGAGCAATTGTGTCGTATCGCATATACAAAAAAAATGTATTTATTAGTAAGTATGTAATAAATATACGTAAGTAACATATATGTTAAAAATCCCCATGTGAATATTTTAATTTATTCAACATGAAAAGCAATAATTTTCCAATTTTACAGTAATTTGATTTAATAATATTCCTTTTTTTTTTAGATATGCAGTTTTCATTTCAAAATTATAAATATGAAAAAGAACTCTTATCTAATAATTTTGTTAATATCGCTGCAGTATAAATATTTCAATGCCAATTTTTTTAATTGTGCACTTGCTTTTATGGTCAAATCCTCTTTTGATCACGGTTCAGCTGTTGAAACAGCACGTCGCTACACTAAATGTGACACTGAAAATTGTTTTTCTCCTGAATTTTCAGTTAAATTATTAATGAAATGTATAAATTAATTTTTATTTTGAATTATGCTTTAGTAGAACATAGGATAAAAAAGGATCTCACATCTACAAATGATATGTAATCTGTTGGAACAATATTTCATGAACCAATTCAATATAACTATATATTGTGGTAAACCTGAAAAAGTTTTATATATTTTCTGTTACTTCCTAATTAATCTCCTATTAGTACAAAGTATCAACAATTTTGTTTATCTTTAAGTAATAAGTACTCTTTTTAAGTCTTTGATTTAAAGAAATACTTGAATGAAACACTTGAATTAATCAATTAAATATGCCTTATGTGTGTTATACTTTTATCACAATACAAAATACTTTGTCAAAATATCAAGTCCATATCTTTTTGTTAAGTGTGAGGTATTCAAATTCAAAATTGCCTATACAGTAAATAAATGAAAGGCCAGAAACATTAGACAGTTTTATGTATATATAAGTGCAGTTATCGGTTGTTAAAGAAACTTTGAAAAATCTTTTTTCCCAGTATTTATTGGAAGATAAAAACATGATAAAAATCGATAACACTTAAATCTCAGTAGGAGTTTGGTAGTGACATTTGTACTTTTGAGCCAGTATATTAATGACTTGCTGAGGAATTCCCCCCCTAACTAGTGACTTTTTGTACTTATAGTTGACACCCATAAATAATATCTTTGTATACACATTATACACCCTGTCCAATGATTTATGGAAAATGCATATTAGCTCAAATCATTTATTTGTATTTATGAATCACCACTCTCTGGTTGCGCGCCTCTGGTGATCCCGAGACATAAATACTGCAATACTAATATTGTACAGGGGGTGACCAGAATATAAATTAGAAGCACAATCTAGAATTAAATGCTTACTGACACGTAAGAATGTATGATTGTATGCTCTCTGATACTGTATTATATGTTTCACAACTTCAGTTACATATATATATATATGTATAGATCTGGATAAGATGTACATAAAAAAAAAATTCTGCCAAATACTTTAAATAATTGCAATTATATGCGAAAAATCGGAAGAACTTATATTATGCTTTTTCCTTTAGTTTTGCAATGTCTATAAGTTTCAGTTGTTGCTTGCTGTTGTTTTGCATTTATACTTACGAAGTTGGCCAGTTACGGTATAAAAGATTTAGCAAATGTAGACTTAAAACTTAAATGAAATTATGTTGAATTAAATAAATAAAAAAATACAGAAGTGTGACATAAGAAACATGACCATCGTGTATATATTATACCTACATATATCACAAAGCTGTCGGTAATGTGTCTATAAAATGTCTGTATAAGTGTCCAACTGGGCATTATGTCATAAGTAGATTTAGACCACAGTGTTTTCTCAGTGGCCTTACACCAGCTCCACTGAAAGGCTTTTGTAAACTTTCGTAGATGTCACAATGCCATCATGTACATTATTCTCAATGTTTGACCTGGCACTTGGGGTGTCACAACCTTTTCACGTCTTTCCTCTTACACTTTGTACCAACATAGCCTTGTGTTTGGAGGGTCTGCTGTGTGTACCCTCTGAGTATTTATGTTGTTGAATGTATTCATGTCTCGCTCCAAATTCTCTCCCTGTGGTATTAACTAGGAATGTTGTTAAACTTTGAGTGGAATATCACACAGATATGTCGGTTAAGTCTTAATGCTTGTCCCAGAACTAAAGGCTCTTGATCAATAATGGTTCTTACCAGAAGCTGATCACATCAATTTACATATAAGACCAAAGAGGAAAACGTCAGGAAAACATCCCATTCTGCATTTTGACTGAAAAGAGATCAAAGAATCATGAGACTGGTTGTCATTAAAAAGTTTTATCAATTCGATGCTAACAAGAAAAACAGATTGACCGAAATATCTAGATCTGTCGGCACGAGTCATATCTACCCTGTGATTGCCATATCCACCCAGCTATCCAGTGTACATGTGTTCCGTATCCACGCAACGACACTTTGCTTAATCATATATCAGCCCATAAGGCTTCCGGCCCCTGAGGCTGAAAATGTGGTCTCAGATCCAAGTGGACATGGAAATGATAATATATAACAACATCTAAATCATGTGGACAAAAATATAATTATTGATGCTGTATTTGCCCCTTTAAAATGAAAAAAAAATCAAAAAAAATCACAATTATTAGTAGCATGTGTGTACAATAAATAGAACAATATGTTTGTTGTCACTGTTGTGAGATAGTATGCGTTAGTTTTTCAATTTCATGTTTTTTCCAATTAAAATCCTATATATACAGTGTATTCTGTGTATGATGGAAAAATGGGTTCACAAATGTTTCATTTGGATTAACAGTTTTGTAGAACTTTGTGTAAGAGTCTTTACAAAAAACAAAATTGTAAATGTCATTTTATGATGAATACAAATAGCTCTCCATAGATTTGCTGTATATGTACTACTTCTATAAATCATTGATTTGGGAAAATTGCCTGTTGATGTACATTTTTCATTTAATAAACACTGTATGTACATACATAGATATTTACATACATGTACACATACATCTTGTATGACATGTTGATGTATGTTTTGTGTGTAAAGGGTGGAGAGAGAGTAAGACAGGTGATTTGACAGGTGAGGACAACAGTTAGAAATTACCGAAATACGATTACGCTAGGGCTGGGTGGTTGGAAAGAAAAACCCCTATTTGTTACACACCATTACATAACTTAACGTCCCGGGTACCAGCCGTCCAGTGTCGCCTGTACATGGGATAGGTAATCAAGCAGGTAAACAAACTAGATTTTATGTAAAGCTTACCTTATTTGGGAGTTATGGATATGTACAATGAACACGATGATGTAACGTGATATGAAATGCATATAATTACGTATTTTTAGGAGATTTCACGTTAGAGACAGTCTACATTGGGTACGGAGGGATAGAGTGCACAAACTAATAAGTGATCATAAATAAATTACATCGATCATTCTGTGACGATGAATAGATTTAAAATTCCCCGTCTTATATCATGGTTATGGAAATAGAAACAGATTCTTGACGTAATTAAAACATAACTTCATTTCATGCACCCGTGCTTGTTGAAATCTGCAAGTCATGTTGTACAGTTGAGTATAGAGACCAGATTATTGTGTGGTGTACCGTGATGAAAGAGATTCAAGGGATCAAGTCTTATCTCTCAATCAAGGCCTATTGAAACAATTCTATCAAAAGGCATTTTCGGTAAAATTTTATTTGCGATAATAAGTCCATTGAAATGTAAAGCTGTTTCATGATTCGTAGACAAAAAGAGACCCTGATGATGATTTACAAGCTTGCTTGACAACCCTGGGTATTAAGTCATTATCCCCTTAATCACTTCGCTGAAGATATTACAATCTGTACCTAGTTGTTGATATATCACTTTGATATTGCTAAAGTACAGGTTGTTTGTACATGTTTGTGTGTAACCTCACTGGTTTGACCAGGACCTAATGCTTTGCCTGCAGATATAGATCAAGTACGGTATGAGGAT